TTGGACATTAAACCAACCACACGAATGCGTACAGTGCGTACAGAAGAGAATATTGCGTCTGTTTCTGAGAGTGTTGCTGAAGACCGTGAAATGTCGATTCGTCGCCGTTCGCAGCAATTGGGTTTGCGAAACACATTTTCGAAAAAGTTAAAATATGAAATTTATTTTCTTGATGAAAAATAAAACTTAAAACTTTATTATTTATTTGATAGTAACCGTTAAAGGGCTGTCTTCAGTTCTCAAGAAAAACGCAAAATTCATATAAAATGATGCACAAGAAATAAAAAATACATTTTCTTCTATCAAAAATTTTTAAATCAGTATGCCGCTCTCAAGGAATAAATTCTTTTACATTTATTTCTTCAAGAAAATTTACAGAAGCAGAAAAGTACTTTTTCAAGCAACAGAAATTATGAAAAATATATTTTGTGATTTTTCTTGAGAACTGCGGGCAGCCATTTAAGTTAAAAACGTTCTATTGCAACGTATAAATAAGATATTTTTGCCTTTGTTATATGAATGATGCGAAATGTGCAATGAATATCGAAGATATTTTTTTGGAAAACCGTTGTTACTACGATAGTAAAAAGTCTTTCGTAATACAAAAGTCTTATTGAAAAAGCTCTCTCATTCACCACTCGCCGTGGAAATCTATTTTGAAAGAAAGCACTTATAATTCTTCTACGTGTTTTAGTTTCATTTCCTTTTAATTTTTAGATCTTATTGTTTAAACAAGACAAATATTTTTAATTTTTTTTTTAATTTAATTTGCTTTTTTGTTGTTATTATCACTTTCTTTTAACTTTTAGATTTTATTTTTTTAAAAGAAAAAGTAGGTTTTTTAAAATTTCAAGTTTAGGATCTAATTTCATTATTTTTTCTTTTTCAATTTAGTGTTCTCTTAATTCTTAGATTGGTTTAAAAAAGAATTTTTTTTACTATTTTTTGTTTAACTTTAAATATTATTCTTTTTGATTTAATTTTTTTTCCAATTTACGTTTACTTAATTCTATTGCTTTAAAAAAAAAAACAATTTAATTTCATATCGACACCTGAGTGAAAGATCGACCTATCTCGGAAGCCAGTTCGAAAACGCCCTATCTCAAAAAACTTTTCAGAATTCGATTGAAGAATTTTTTGGGCTTCATGTGCAACAATGGGTGGAAACACTATTATGCCACCTCGGGGAAAGGCGGCGGATTGCTCCTTTGCTGCGATGCTAATGTTCAGAATATAATCTGGGTAATTGAGCTTACGCTATCTTAAATTTTTCGGAATTTCCGGTACATCAAATTTCATCTCGAAGGCAAATAATATTGGGGGACCCAACGTCGATTAAATGGTTCAGGCAAAATATCAACAGTAATAGTTGGTGCTTAAAACCCAAGAAGGTGGTTAGACTAAGAGAAGAAAGTATACAAAGACAAACGACTATTTAGCGTCAGCTTTAATAACAGGTACCATCAAAACAACAGCCCTCAAAGTGCTATCCGCACTATTGACTTTCCTACCGATTGCCAATTACGCTAAACAGTTACGGCAACAGTGTAACTACAACTGAAATCCCTAACTCAAGAAACTACTACTGTCTCCCAACCCGAAACCCTAACGCAAAATTCCTAAGCCGGAATGTCTGTCGATAAGATCGCTGATATATTTGCATATCGTCTGCTTTCCAGGACATTCCCACATTGAAGGTAATTACAGTTGGCCCTCATGCAGCCTGGCTAGATGTTCGCTTAAACGATTTCTATATAAACTGTAGAGATATGGAACAGGAGCAATCCCCCGGTCCGGCTCTTGCTGAAGTAAGGCTCAAATACCTGGACACAAGTACTTCTTCAAAGCACTTGATAATCTCAGGTACATGAATGTTAGAGACCTGAAGAATTTCGTTCTTAGCACGATCTGGTTTTAAGAGATTAGGGGTAAACACGAACTCCAAAGCGGTAACACAAAGAGCCTAGAGCCTAAGTGTTTCCTTCGGCCGACCTTCTCTCTCTGAGCTCCAATATACTTTTTGTGGGCAATGCTCAGGAACGGCATCAATATTGTTTTTTTGCCCACTGTAAAATGTTCGAATGAATTAGCATTTCTGTAGAGCACGTTAGCAGCGCTTCAAAGGCTGCTGTTGGCTACAGCAGGAATGCGCTATTAAACTGATCGCTGATCGAGGACTCGAACATTACCACTTTATATAGAGAAGATTGATGCAACACTGGGCATTAAAGCTATGCGAAACCAGTTGGATAGCTGGCTGGCAGTGAAAATATACATATGTACAGAACTGACTGAAAGTATTCCAGAACACAGTAGTATTAATTGATTGGTGAAAAAATTTTGAAATGTTTGGAATTGTAAAAGATATTAAGTTTAATAGTGTTACAAGTAAAATAACCAACTAGGTATGGCCTGCATTTTGTGGAGTAGAAGCGTTGAAAATTTTGCAGCAAATTATTGACAGTGAAAATGAAAACAAGTTTCGGCAGTTTCTTTCCTCATTGCCACGCTGCTATGCGCCCCGCTGTATCCTTGCCAAGGTTTTTTCTTTTTATTAATTTTGTGTTTGTTTTCTCTTAATTTTATTTGCAGCTAAAATTGGAAAAATTTTCATTATTTCGTATAATTGGCGTAGACAATTCCTTTTATAATATCCATGAAAAAAAACTTAAAAATAAAATTGCAAACAAATTTACGCAAGCAGTGTGCAAAGTAGTGAAGTATAAAAAAAAATTTTAAATAAAACGAGTGATGAAACGAAATGCCAAAACAAGTTGAGAGAATTGAAGAATTTCAATACGGCTGCGCGACAGCGAAGACGAAACGTGCGCGTAACAGAGACGAAACGAGTGCGAACGCGAACTGAACGAAACGGAGCGGCGCGTGTGTACGAGTGAAAGAGTTGCTAGGCTAGCAGCAGTGGAGGGAGAAGAAAAAGAGGTAGAATTGCAGTTGAGCAGCAACACCGCGGCAAAGTTTTGTCTTCCAGCGAAGGCCTGCACGAGTATGCGTGCGTGCGTGTGTGTGTTTGCGGGTGCTGTGGCAAAAAGTGCAACGACAGTCATCGCAGCGACAACAACTGCATAGCAAGCAAGTAAAGCAAACAATAACAATTGACTAGATCGATGCAAAGGAATGCACAATAAAAGCAAAGCAACAAAAAATAATGAGAAATTAAAAAAAGGCAACTGAAAAGACAGGAATTTTTTCACGCGATAAGTAAAAAACAAAAAAAAAAGAAACGCAAATGTGTATGAAAGCGGCATAAAATGTAGCTGAAAGTGTGTTTGTGATTTGATGAAACAAAGCAAAATTTCATCACTCAAGTGCCACCAAACGTTAAAAATCAGCGAAAATTCTTATTTTGAGTTTTTTATTTTCTTTTTGGTAAAAAATAATTCTGCAATATTATTTATGTGTTATGTAGCAAATGTGTACTAACAATTTTCAGTTTCGAAAATTAAGTTTTTTTTTTTTAATTTTTGCCGCCACACGAAAGTGTAAATAAGCTACGTTGTTGTTTTTCTTTATTTTGTTGCCAAACAAAAAAAGTTAAAAAAGAAAATCAAAAAAATTCATAAAAAAAATGAAATAATTAACCGCCTTTTTCATTTACCAATTAATTCACCTCGATTTCAATCAAATAAATCACATTCTTTCAATTTCAATCCCTTTTGAAATTATGAAGAATAACCAAACGAAAACCTCTAATAACAACAATAACACCAATAACAACAACAGGAACAGCAAAAATTTAAATTACCTAAATAACATCAATAAAAAATTCACCAATAACAGCAATAAAGTCAGCAAAGCCACACAATCGACGGCCAGCAACAATAACGCTCATAACAACACCAACAACAGCACTAATCACAACAATAACAACGCTAAGCATAACAAGAAGAATAATAATAAACGCACTTTGCGTTTGGGTCGCAGCAATAAAATGGGCGGCCGCAAGGATGTGCGTCGCGGCCTCGAGCCACTCGAATTCGAGGAATGCATCGTCGATAGTCCAGAGTTTCGTGACAATTTGAATCGGCACGAAAAGGAATTGGATCACACTAGTCATCAGATCAAGCGTATCATCAAGGAGGTGAAAGATTTGATGAGCGCGGCTAAAGGTGAGTCGAATAGGTGGAAACTTATTTTATGTCCTTTAGAAAACATGTGTTTACCACAGAGAAAAAAAAAAACAGGAGGAACTGTTGTCATTTAATACATTTTTTCATCTAAATAAATACTTCTTAATTTACAAATATTCAATAAAATTTGTAGACAAACAATTTTTTTGGTTTTCGTCATGTCGCACGTTTAATAATATAGAGATGTAACTCAAAATTTACGTTTTTAGAGATTTCCTCATACAATTAATAAGCTTGATAAGTAAAACATGTTCAGCTTAACAGATGGCTAAACTTCCCAAAGATGGCGAAGGTATGGGTCTTTTCAACTGTATTTTTGTATACCAACTGTATGAATTGTATGAATTTGAACTTTGATTGCGTTTTCCCACAAAATTTAAATTTTGAAATACTTCTGTATATTATTAAACGTGCGATGTACATATTTTGAATTCTTAGAACCTATCTATTGCCAATTTTTTTTTTATACCAATACACCATAAATTTCAAGTAAAAAATTATATTTTTAACGAAAATATGCTGATGGATTTTTGATGTACATAAATAAGTAATAGGTACCACTAGCTTTTGCATGACTTATGTGATGAAGTGGTCATATTGTAACTCTTTAATAATCATAAACGTAACTGTAACAAGTAAGCAAGTCTAAGTTCGGGCGGAGCCGAACACTAAATACCCGGCGCAAGTATTAAATATATGTTTTCCACCTTTCCGAAAACTACCGTGACATGGTAAGCCGGGGTGGTTTTATCCCTATTTTAAACATCTTCGATAGAACGTTGAGTTAGACATAATGAGATAGACTTATATATAGTCATATGTGGGCGATATCACGCCCATTTTCCAAAATTCCAAATAATGTTGCTCTTTTTCAAGGGATTGTTGTTAGTATCAAGTTTGATTAAATAAGCGTCCTTGAATCTCGAAATATAGAAGTTTCAAGCATTTCTGAAATGTACCGTTATATGAGAAGTGGCCGTAATTTTAGTCCGATTTCAGTAACTTTCAACGTTTTGCTTCTATGTGGCAAACACAATAACCTCACCGAGTTTAGTACAAATTGGTAGAAGGGTTACCGATATACATATGTATGTATATGTGATCATAAGTGGGCGGTGCCACGCCCATTTTCAAAAATTTACCATAAACGTATTTCTTGGTAAAGAATTGTTGCAAGCATCAATTTTGAATAAATTAGCTTTAGTATGTAGATACTGATGTAACGAAAATTTCGTATTTCTCTAAATTACCGTCATATGGGAGGTAGGCGTGGTTATTGTCCGATTTTGCCCATTTTCGATGCCATCCGTCCTACATACGCTGAAAAGAAGTACACATACCAAATTTCGTTAGGATATCTCAATTTTTACTCGAATTATCGTGTGCACAAACGGACAGACGGACGGACAAACAGTCACCGCTTAATCGATTTCTCTTTTCATTCTGATTTCATTTATGTATACATTTGTCTATATCTATCTCGATTCGTTTTGCCTGTAACAAACAACCGTTATGTGAACAAAGTTATAATACCCTTGTGCACAAGTGCGCTCGGGTATAAAAAAGGGAACTCGCTTAACCGAGCGTATGTTTTTTCCCAAACAAAACAATTTTTCCTCAACAAAAGTTTGAAGATCATGTAATTCTGAAAACTCATTAAGTTTATTTGAATCGCAAATTGTTTCAGTGGAACCCCCCCAGCACGGTGTAAGGTGATGATTGCGCTGCCGCTGCCGCTGCCGCTGATATTTCGAAGCGATTTCGCTTTCGCCTTTAAGCCACATTTAAATATCTCACACTTTGATTGGCTGTAATTTTTGAAATGTGTGGCAATTTATTTATAATTTGTTCCCTTTAATTTTCTCCTTTGTGGGCCTTAATGAAATGTAAAATAACTTTATTTACCTCAACCGCAAAAACAACAACAGCAGTATGGAGTAGAAAAAAATATGAATAAAAAGCGTGTAGGAAAATTGTGCTTTGGCTTTATAGTCACACAAACCGACGGACAAATATGCATCCAGTAAATAAACTTGCGAAATATTGAATTACAAAATCTTGCATAGAAATGCAATTGCAAAAACAATAACAATGGCAGCAGCAGTAGCCACAGTAGTAAAACAAAACATACATATATGCATAACAACAAAAACAATTAACGTAACAGCAAATAGCGCATGCAAGCGAATTGTTGTGAATAATAGCAGCAGCAGCAGCAGGAACAGCAATTGCAATAGCAATCAGCGCTAGTTAAATGCAACGCTGATTTTGCCACGTACTTACAGTGCGCTGTCATTGTACATTATTTGGAAACACAAGTAAAAACTTGTCTGGAAAATTTAGTTAAAAAAAAATCGAAAAAAAAAATTATTTGTCAAATTACAAAAATTAGAACTTTTATCTAAATATTAATAGTTTTTCAAATTTTTTTCTTACAAAATTTACTTTTTGAATTTTTGTTATTTAATAAAATCTTTGTTCCACACGCTACTCAAAGTCACTCCGAGTTACACTTAAGCATTCCGCCAGAAAATTTACTAATAAAGTAAAAATGGCAGAAACTAAAACAAACATTCAGCGAACATTTTTTTCGAGCCTAATCTTAGCTAACAAATAAATATGTTTGTCGAAGTTAACACAAAACTGTTCCATGTATTTTCGAGTAGATCGTGGAACTAACCTAAAGTGTTTCTTTTTGAATATTTGTTATTAAAAAATTGTAAATGTTATTAATTTAACATCTGCTCAAGGCCTGACTAACACAAATTTTCTTATTGTTTTAATTGGTTAAATTGGTCAATATATCGACTTAAGACTGTTGTGATCTGCTGGATCTTTCGGCTATGCCTATTTGAAATATCGACCAATTAAAATAGTAAAAGAAGAATATACAACTTTTATTATTTTTTTAATCCGTCTTTGAGCTCTTCTACAATTAATAATACATATCTACATGTTGACCAGAAAAAAAAACATATTAAAAAATCAAAAAGCTTAGAAAATAAAAAAGCCTAAGAGAAAAAAATTAAGTATTAAAACAATTAAAATATTTGTAAATCGTAAAATGCGCATTGGCCTTTATTTTTTTCTTCATTTTAAGAACAAAATACTCGCGACAATGTTTTTTTTTAGAGAAAACCTAACCTAAAACTATTAATAAAAAAATAAAAAAGCATATATGCACATCTTAATATATAAAAATCCCGTGTCACTGTGTTCGTTTACGCTAATCTCCGAAACCACTTAACCGATTTCAATGAAATTCTGTGGGTGTGTATTGTTGGTTTCAACTTTAAAGATAGGATAGTTTTGAACCCCAGAAAATCGAAATTTTTTCCATGCTTCTTGCGAACGAACTTATAAAAAGTTTAAAAACTTGTGAATTTTTTAGTTTGCAACTTGACGAAAGTACCGACGTA